AAAAAAATAAGAAATCAGGAAGGGGGCAAACACTTTTTCACACAACTGTATGTGTTTAGCGGTACAGTTTCACCATCGCCCACATTTCACTCTGAAATATTCCTGGCCCGTGGACCTGTGTACTAATTTGTGGTGGCATGTTTGTCAAAATGGAAATCGGTGAAGTTCACTCTCCGTCTTCCCGCTTGTTATTCAGTAGCCTGTTTGACTTGGAGCTCTGCCCGGTTCATTCACTTTTTCTGATTCGCAGCATGACAAAACACTTCCTTGTAAATAAAGACATTGTTGGCGTGTGCTAATAAGGCCGCTGGCTTTCATCCCTGTTCACACAGGTGCACACGCCAACCCACAATCCTTCTCCCCAACAACACGCTGCTTTTCTTTCTTCTTGTAATTAGTAAATCACCTACGAATACTTGTGCACTTGTTAGTGTATAGAGCGGGATTAAGAACGTTAATATGACTTAATATTTGTGGAAGAAAAACAAATCAGTGCTGTCTGTATTGGTGGCCTCATTATGATATTGAGTCAGGTCTCGAATTAGCTTCTAGTCGGGTTAGTGGCTTGGTATCGATACCAGTGTACTGTGACTGAGCCTCCCAGTATCTTGCGTGAGAGAGTCCAAAGTACCTTAGCTGCCACAGTGACAGTAGCGTGAGACTGTGCCTCTCTGTCTCCTGGTTAGCGTGAGAGCTCAGCATCGTTGGGGTTGAAGGCCAGGTTTTTCCAGTTTTTCTTTTCTTTTCTTTTTCTTTTTCTTTTTTTTTTTTGTTCTCTGTTTACGTATGTAAACTTTATTGAATACCGCTCGGTCGGCCATTGTATGTTTTGTGCGTCTGCTGTGTTTTGTTCTCGGCGGGTTAAAGTAACCGACCGAGATGATAAGAAAAGTACCAGACAGAGAGTTGTGAGACAGAAGGAGCTACGAGCAATCGAGCCAGAATTTTGAAAGTGCTGAGCGCAGTAATTTTGTGTGTGTGTGTGTGTGTGTGTGTGTGTGTGTGTCACACCATTTACAGCCCGATGATGTACAGTAAGACTGCTCATAGCACCTTTCAGAAGCGATTAGGATGTGAGCAGAGAAATGGGAGGATTTCTGGGTTATCTGTGTATTTTGGGTTTGAGATGAAAGACAAGATGGGCCCTTGTTAGCCCAGAGCAAAGCATCGTACTCTCTGTCAAAGACCCTCAGTTTATCAGCTGTAGTGATCCTAAAATATCTTTTCTGGAAAGGTGTCAGTGTTTTCTCACGGATGCATCTTGAACTCGGGGATATATTGAAAATTTCCGTAATACTTTTTTGACAAATGGCTTACAGCTTTTATGTAGCTTTACGCAGCTATAAAAACATTTTTAACCGTTTTTGTCATTTGTCAGCAATCCTATAAAGACACATTTTATATAATGTGTTTTACTATATTGTCATTAATTAAGTTTATACACCAGCCTCCATTTAAGATTGCCCACAGGGGAAGTTACAGTAGGTGACCAACACATTAACCTGCTAACAACTATGTTGCTTTTTGTTCATACCAGTGTTTCCTCATTTATTTATTTATTTTAGCGCATCAGTGCAGTAATAAATCATTGCACATCGAGTCGGATGTGATTATTTGGACGTCCATTTGCTAATGAATGTGATGTTTCTTTCTACCAAAGTACCCTGGACGTGAGCCAAGTGAATTTAGTATTGTAGTTTTCTTTATTGGCGAAGCATGACAAAACACGGGTGATTTGATAGCGGTGGACGAATATGACGTGACATGACATTACATTACAAGGACTGTCAGAAAGTCTAAAGGTGGGGCATGGCTGCAGGTGGATGACTGACTTGTGTCGTCTTGCTTCCATCAGCCCCGACAGGTCCATCTAACAGCAGAGGGGCGACGCAGGCCACACAAAAGAAGAACAGTGTGAGGAACGGAGGCCCGACGAGGACGAGGGACGACGAGTGCTTCGGAGCCGGGACCGACGAGAACATGGACGCAGACTTCGACTTTGAGGGGAACCTGGCTCTGTTTGACAAAGCCGCCGTCTTCTCCCAGATCGCTGGCACCGGCAGCAGGGCGCAGCATCACAACACGCAGGGCGATCAGAAGCCCCTGTCCTATCGCCATGACGAGAATATCCTGGAGGCGAAGCCCGTCATATACCGGCAGATAACGGTGCCCCAGCACGGGGGCAAAGAGTACTGTACCGGTGAGAACGAAACGCATGTGTACACACACACACACTCGCACCTGTGTAGGAGGTAATGTACTTACAGCCTCTCGATTCCTTTAATATAGTATGTTCAGTCGATATATATATTGACTTGATGCCAGATTTTTTTTTTTTTTTTTTTTTTTTTCAGTCACAATGCTAGTTTTTAAAAACAAGGTGTGTGCCGAGAAGAGAATCTCAGTGGATGCATTAGCCAGAGAAAGGTCACCTTTGGGCAGGCTGACTGGAATCATAACCTCCTGGTTACTGGTCATCATGAATTCTGACTCCTCCCCCCCCTCCCCCTTTATGTGGCCCACAGAGATGATGAACACACTTCTGCTTACTCTAGGAACCTGAGCGTTACGTAACTGGTTAATACACACACAAGATAAGTTAATGGCATGCTAAGACAGGCCCCGGCGTTCACTCTATAGGAACAGTGGAGGGTGGTGTCGGGGAAAAGGGCTGAGTCGTATGGTGTATGAGTAGCTGTCGTACCACGACTACAGGGATCAAACTCCACCTGTGTCTGGTCTTCAAGATAAGCTAGTGTGCATTGCCACGGTGGAATAAGTTGGGGACGTTATATCTCTGGTGAAATCTATCTGTTTCTCTGGTCGTCGCCCAAAGTTCTACGTGCAGTCTGTCCTGAACAATAATAGAAGGATGACTGTCTGACCGCGGTGACACCGAGCAGCTCAGTAAGGAGCTGCCGTCCGCCATTCGGCAGGCCGCCGCCGAGCAGAGCCTCCTTTTCTTACCATGTAGGCAGATCTGCTTCCCAGGGCTATCATCGTAATCTCCGTCCTCTGCACTCTGTAATTAGCGTGCTGCCGCACAGCCTTACATAAACAGCACCTCTGAAGCAGGAACAAACCACAGCGCTCTTGACCCGGAATCTTTGCCAGTAAACAGATAAGTCAACAGTATGTGAACGGAGAAAGAACAAAGTGCCCGCCTCTGTGCGAGGGTTGCCATAGCGCACTGCCATGGGTGTTTGATAGGCATGTTTCTATAGACTATTGTTAATGGTGTAAAGAATTGTTGCAGTCAGTGTAAGTTTAGTTCCGCTATTGTCTTGTGTGATTGACTCCAGCTGTGGAGCAAAACCTTGTCGGCGCAAACGAGCCAGGCCACAACACAGCTTGCAATCAAGCCAACTGTCAGCTGGTTTTCTTTATTTAATTTATTTATTTATTTATTTATGTATGCCGTATCGCTTTGGAGAAAGCACAATGCAAAAGAAATGTGTCATCACAAGTTATTTTCCCAGTGACCTTGGGATGGATCTTCTCCTGAAAACTGCATGCTGTCGGGTAAAGAGAAGGAAAACGTTGCGACGCGACTCATTTTAAGTTTCAAGCTGCAGTTTTGACGTTGTGATCCACAGACCTTCAGATTAATTTTACCTGATGGAGGCCTCGCGTGTTACAAAGTTCTTAAATTCCAGAGATCAACAGTGTTTTCACGCGATGATGGCCTAAAATATAACTTAATATAGTGAGAGAAAGATTCTTTGATTGCTTCTAAGTCCAGTGTTTTTGACGTCATGATTTGCAACTTCTTGCATTATAAAACCCCAAAATTGCAAGAATCATGCAAGTACATCCACTTCATTAGATATGCTGAACTACTGCAAGTGCCACAGAGAAAAGATTTTTTTTTAATCAAGATTTCTATTTATGGGCCAAGTTGCAGTCAGACCAAGATGAGTTTTCAGTCTGCAACAGGAGAGGTGTAGATTTTATTGATATGTGCTTTGTGCAAAATGGCCCCAAGACACACACACACACACACACGCTCACACTCTCCCCCAACAGTGAGCACTTAAAAATATGACCAAAATGGGGAAGAAAATAGAAGGGAATCTCACAGATTACCGCATTAAGCTGCTGTTCTATGCCCCTCATCGTGCTACCTCCTCAGAGTGCAGGTCAACATAGTTCAACTCTGGCGGAGAGGAATGGCCTCGTCTAACCCTCCCTAACCCAGCACTAGCCTCAATCACATGGCCCGCATCCAGCCAGAGTGTATTGCTTTCAGTCCCGTCAGTTGCCTTGTCATGCTTGAAGGATTGCTTCCAGCTCAGTTTATTTTAGTGCTGCCGCATACTCACGGCTACCCGGTTCAGCTAGTTGACTGGTGAGTTTTTGTTTTTGCACCACATCGAGAGAGTGTGTGTGTGTGTGTGTGAGTGTGAGAGAGGGAGGGAGGAGGAGGAGATGGTGTGCATATGTTGAGGGTTTTTGGTAGCTGCAACTTGAGCAAGTGAGTTATTATGAAGCGCACCTGGCGGGATGGTTGAAAAGCAATCGGTGCGCACGAGTGCAACTCCCACTTCCTCTGAGCTCTGCACTCGAGGCAGCAGTTTGCATGACAAGTGGCAGTTGACATTCCTGTGCTTATCGCTCACGTGAGGATCGGCATTTCTGTCACATATTGGCAGTCTTTGTGCGGTATCAATAAAAGAAGAGCGGGAGGGGAGCAGGGCCGACCTAAAGATGAACAAGAATGTCAGCCAGGCACGGCATGAGTCTGTGTTTACAAGTAATTATCTTGTGTGCGTGTGTCACTCTGTCCGCGTTGCATGCCAGGGTGAAACGGCCGACGAGGCCACAAGTTCTCAGCTACCAGGCCAGAGATCCGTAGGAGGCCATTAAGGACTCAACTGCCTTCCAGCCGCTTTATTTATCAAAGGGATCCTGAGCCCTGCAGTTCCCCCCAGCTTGACTTTCATAACCCTTCTGATCTGCCACGGGCAATAGACGGCTAGGGATTAGCAAAAAGGCTCTTTAAAGGTTTCCACATGCTTCAGTTTGTACAGTGATAAAAGGCTGAGTTGTGGTTCTCTAATACAGTAGTTCAAGAAGAAAAAGAAGTACGCAGGTGAGAGCAATTCTGACAAGGTTAGGCGACAAGAAAGGGATTGAAGCCTTTTTCTCAAAAGGTGGTTATGATAAGAGAAAAACGAGCTTGATGTGTCCGATCTCTGCCACTGCCCTGCTGCCAATAACAAGTCTTACATTGCTATTTGGGCAAGTGTACAAAAAAAGGTAGTTTACTCAGTGTTTTAAGTGGTGTCTTGCATGTTTGTCGAGCAAGCACAACTCTGAAAGGAACGGAATTGCCATAGTAAGAGCCTTGCTTCCCCGTTGCCCCGTTGACGCCAGCAAACAACACCGGGCCTCGTGCAGCAACATTCTCTTAAAAGTCTCTGAATTTTCTGTAATGAGAAAAAATAAGAGAGGTCAACTCCAGATGCACCAAACTCTCTGAACCATCCAAATGTGCTCTTACCCAGGTGTTCTGAAAGATGAATCACACTTGATCATACATTGGAGGCGTATGGCTGATTATCAGCATAAGATACGCTCCCTAAACACTGTATAAGAGCAGGTGTTGTACTGTATGCACATGCCCAAGCACTGAAGAAATGCCACCAAAAAACACCTGTTGAAAGAAGAATTTCAGTAGTAGTAAAATTGAGGTGCTGTTAAAGTAAACGTGATTCTCGAGAGGGTTATAGTCTTAATTGGACCAATAGTATTTTTTAGCCCATGGATTTAATAATCCAATCATTATATCTACTCTAAAATATATGATAATCAAAAAATATGTATGTTCCTGAAAATATTTTCTTGTATGGATTCCTCCATGAGGCCCTGAGTTTGGCCCCAAATGTGAAAAGCGTGAACTGCTGTAGTTGTAGGTGCACAGAACTACTCGACTCGGCAATGAAGAGAGTTTTGGAGGACCATTTGAAAACAGTTGTTCATTCTTTGAAATGCTTAACACAGTTCTGTACAGAAAAGACAACTGCAAATAAGTTGACATATTTCAACCAACAAAATGAGTCTATGAATCACTTCGGTTGGTAAAATGTTTAGTTTTTAACTTAGTTTAATAGCCTTTGGTAGATCAGTCAACAATTCATTTTAAGAGACCGGGTTGAGTCCACTGTTACCGCCGTGCCGCCCTCATGTTTAGTCCTCCCCAATCTCTCACCACGAGCCGTTGGGATACAGGTGCAGGTGTTCATATATGCACACACGCATGTGATGTTTGTCCCCTTCGCTGTCACGCCAACCTGCCTGCCGCATGTTTTGACTGAGACAGCAGCTGACGTGGGGGGTCCATCCCAGAGCTCAGGGCTGAAGATTGGTCAGACGCCACGGGGATGGTGCGTGTGAACTCAGGGCCCCGCGGGGAATAGGCGTCTCACTGTGGCTGCCTGGCGTTTGTCATGTTTTGTAAAGGCTGCCAATCTCCCCTTTGTTGCAACAGACAGCAGCGACAAACAGGAGAGGAAATGGAGAATCTTCCGTGATGGGAACAAGATCGGGTCATGGAGGAGGAGGAAGACCCCCCCCCTCCCTCTACTCCCGGTGGGGGAGCGGGTTCCCGTGTTTATCCGTTAGCCAACGCTTGTCGTTATCTTAGGGGTCCGGTTTCTGGCTTTCACCTTTTGTTTTTTTTTTGTTTTTTAAGGAGATACTTTTCAAAATGCCATAGTTCTTATGAAGATGTAGGACAGTGCCGGTCTAATTTAGGAATACGATACACGTCAGACCATTCCGATGGATGCGGGAATGTAAGAGCACAAATATCCTTATGAATATTCTTCATCTTTTTTCGTATTTTCAGGAGTTCAGTATGAGATTTTGTAATTTAGGCGTACCTCAAATATACCTGGTGGCATTCATCCCACTGTGACATAAAATAAGAAATAATTTTTACGGGAAAGTTACCAGAGGACAACATTTACCAATCAGCCAGGCAAGGTTCCGTTTCCTTGGTTTTGCCATTTCGCTTGACAAGACTTTGATAGCGACAGAGGAATGTTACCGACAGAGTTTATTGTTAGTGGAGAAATTCTCCTTTTGCACCTTGTGTTTTGTTTAAGGACACCTCATCTGGGCAGATGTTGGCTAGAACAGGAAGACGTTTTCATCTACTCCGTCACGCTCTTATGTTGTGTCGCATCAGACGTGAGAACATGTATAGAACAGCATTAACGTGCTATCTGTGTTGCCTCTCTGCAGATTCAGGCCTGGTGGTTCCCAGCGTCCCCTATGAGCTTCACAAGCGTCTGCTGGCAGCCGCCGAGCGCTGGGGCCTGTCTCTGGAGCGCAGGCTGGAGACGACCGGCGTCTGCTCCAGTCAGATGGCTCTCACTCTGCTGGGCGGACCAAACAGGTGAGAAATACCACTGTGGGCTCTGATGCAACGTGTGTGTGTGTGTGTGTGTGTGTGTGTGTGTGTGTGTGTGTGTGTGTGTGTAAAAAAGGCTGGACGTACGCGACCGACCCAAGATTGCTCAACAATGTGCCAAAAGTCCTTCTCCGAATAGTTCTACCATCATCAGCGCAGGTCCGTCCAACCTTTTTTCATGTCATGTTTTTCCAGTTTCCATGGCACTCGTCTTTATTACCATGTTCCTACATACGTTACATGGTGAGCAGTCACACGGCAGGTCAAGAACATCCAAAGACTGCAGCAGTGTTGTTTACCTTTACGAGCAGTGTAGTCTTATTCAAGATCAGAGGCTCGTATAACAAACGGGTTTGTTGTCTCCGATTCTTTCATCGATTTAGCAGCACTCTACTACTTGTGTCTCAAGTTTACTCTAGAACTACTGCTCAGGTCAAGTGTAATGTTGTTATACCAGAATCACAGTGGTGTTCCACTGTTTCCCCATCGCGTCATTCAAGTTATACTCAAAGTGTACACATACTCGAGCATTGACTCAAGCTTCAAATTAATTTATTGCTTGTATGTCAAGTAATCAAAGACAACAACGAATGGAACATTTTAAAACTGTGATTAGAAATAAGATGGTGGACAACAGTGTACCATCTTCATCACTAAAGTGCCTGTGATTACAACAAAGAACCTTCAGGTGGGCTGAAGGTTTCTTTTAGAAACTGATGCATGTCATTTGTTTTGTGTAAAAATGAGGCAGATATTTAATAACAGAATGAAGTTAGAATGCTAACCAAATTATTTGCTTATCTTTATTTTATGGACAGCTTTCTATTATTATAATAGTTATAATAGTTATAACATAGTTATAAAAATAAATGTCTTCTTACACTGTTTGATGAAACAACTTTTTTTTCTTTTCCTTTTGTGAGCAACCTTGTCCTTGTTTAAATTTAAGAAAGATTATGTCATAGACATCTTTCTTTTCTTCTCGGGACCGACTTTGTAAAAATTCCAAACCACTGCGACCCAATTCATAATAGGCCATATCAATGATGAGAAGAGCAACTCTGTGCGTAAATGAACGCTTGTGACCATTTTTTGTGCCATTTCCGAATCACGTTATGTTGAAGGTAAACCAGACATTTTAAAGAGATATAGGTTTCATAAATCACAACTTGTTTTATGCATGTTGTTGCAAACATATACACATGTTAAATACTTTATAAATAAATGCATTTAGGCAGAGTTATTCTTTTCTTTTCCTCTCATCAGATAATTAATGCACATCTACTTTTTACTACCACTAGCTTTGTTATTGATGTTTGTTAGTTGATGGTGTTTGTTAATGTTTTCTAGAATGTTCTTTGATTATGTTAGTTGTATGTTTTTTTGAAGCAAATGTGCATGCAGTCTTTTAACCTACCTGGAGTTACCTCTCATTGTTCCATGTGTGTTGTGGTGTCTTTAAACAAACATGTCTTATGTTGTCCTTGTCCAGTCAGCATGTTAGAGATGGTGCATGTTTGTTTGATCACATATTTATTGTTCAACTCATGAATACTACATCGGCTGTCTTTCTTTCTTCCTGGAGTAATATCGTCCTCTCTTGAATGTCCCCAGACTCACCCCCAAAAACGTCCACCAGAGGCCCACTGTGGTCCTCCTGTGTGGGCCACACATCCAGGGAGCCCAGGGGGTCAGCTGTGGCCGACACTTGGCCAACCACGGAGTGGAGGTCATCCTGTTCCTGCCAAATTTCGTCAAGATGCAGGAGTCGGTCACCGGCGAGGTCCACCTCTACAGCAAGACCAGCAGCAAGCAGGTGGCCAGCGTCAAAGGTAGAACACACCAACGGAGAGTATGTGGATTGTTGGCTCACCTGTGGAGTTAGTGGCACTGATGGAGAGGGCCGTGCTGGTGATCCATGTGAATATCATTCAGAGTTTCTGTGAGAGGATCAGCTAATGCTGTCCTGTTGGAACAGACAAGCACAGATAAATGTCGCCCTCTGGTGGAGCAGCGTCATTAAAGGCACGCACCGTCATTGACGATCATTTATGACTCCACACATTTAAAATGAATTTACATAGATGGTAAGGAGTGTCTCCTCGTTTCAGTTATTAGCCGGATCCCAAGTATTGTCATGTCTTTGTGAGGCACCTTTGAAACACTTTGTTCATCAACTTCATGGCTCGTTCTCCTTCTCCTCCTCTTCCTCTGTCCCAGACCTGCCAACAAGCCCGGTCGACCTGGTCATCAACTGCCTGGACTGCCACGAGAACCCACTGCTGAGGGAGCAGTCCTGGTACCAATCGGCCGCCGACTGGGCCAACCAGAACCGGGCTCCCGTCCTGAGTATCGATCCCGCTGTCGGTGGCCAGCATCAGGCTGTCGAGGCGAAGTGGACCCTCTTTTTAGGCCTTCCTTTACCGTTAGCCGAGACGGAGAGCAGGGTCTACCTCTGTGACATTGGCATCCCTAAACTGGTTTTCCAGGAAGTTGGAATCCGCTACCACTCACCATTCGGATGTAAATTTGTCATTCCTCTACACACGCCATAACTGAGAAGCCACTGACATTGAACTCAGTTACAATAGGAGGGGACGGTCTGCTATTCAGTGGGTAATGGTACGATTGTGTATGTGGCAATAGCTGAAGAGCAACAGTATGACCTAAAGAATATTTTGTCGTAAAGTGTATACGACTGAAAGCATATTGTGTAGGTCTTTCCCTGCTGCCCCTCTGGAAACTCCCGAGGAGGGAGAGGGGGGAGGGGGGGTCGCCGCGCGTTGCGTGCGACGCCTCTTGTTTTTGAGAGGGAAAGGTTTCCTGTTCTTTGGCGTGTTTTGATAAGGGCTCTGGATGACGAGGTGAATGTGTTTACAAAACGCTGACCACTGTGAGTCGGTGACCAGTCAGAGCAGCAGAGACACGGTTCCTGTTTCCTCCTCCAGATTGCATGTGGAGGCCGGTCTCGACCCCGTGACCCCCGTGCACAGCTCAGCCTAAAGCCGTCTGCCAACCCAAACATTCATGTGGCCCATTGTCTTTCCATTTAATGCAATTTTGTACTCACTCAAATAGGTGTGTTTTGTCTAGTAATGGCTGTAGCATGTTTTACTGAAAATGGGTTGTCACACAGAATTTATATTTGTATTTATTTTTGGAATACATCTCAGGAACAATGAATGAAAAATGTAAAAAACTTCATATTTGCATTTACAGTACATCCGATAGCGCTCTCTATGCCCGGTTGGGTGAGTTCATAACCACTGACGATGAAAATGAAAAGTAGTTGCTGGCACCCCTGAGGATTAATTTTCTGTATTTCTGAAGTCTTGCAGATTCGGCAGGATTTTGAAGCACACATTCCAAGGACCAAAAACATCTTGGGCCAGGTTAATCTCTAGGGATTATAGCTAGTTTGGTTTGGTGAAACCTAATTATTATTTTCCATTTCGACACCTCGGATTCAGCCACCTTCAGTGAAGTAACCATTCCTCTGGTTTGGTCGCTGTAGCGTTCTTCTGTTAAAACCTCAGATCAGCAAACTGTCAACTTTACAAGTAAAAGGACAACCTGATTTTAGACTGGCAGCTATGCGCTTTTGAAATTATGCAGGTGTCTTTTTTTAAGTTATTGTTATGAACTTCTTTTCCAACAGCAAAGAATCGAGTACTTCAAGTTCAAACCTGAGAGTCAAAAAGCTAGAGTAGAAGAAGCCTAATATGTTGTTGGTTGTAATAATAATATAAATCAAACCTCCACTCAGGGAAACACGAGCAGTTCAAAACACTGCAACCTCTTTCTCTGCTTTTTCAGAGCCACTTTTTTTCTTCTCCATTACAGCAAAGACTAAATGAAACACTTAAAATGTAATCATGATTGTGATGAAGCAATCATGTTTAAATAAAACAAAACATTCCTTGTAAATTTTGATTAGGGATGTTCTTGAGATTAATTATTGTGGGGGGGGTGTACAAAATAATGTGAATTTCGTGGTGATGGGTTTGTATCTCATTTTTTCAGAAGTGTAGTCAACTTGAAGGTGTTTTGTACCTGAGGTTTTTGACTAATTTGTTGCCAGCCTGCGTGGTTATTTTTGACAAAGCCGTATGTAAGCCTGGTAAAGAACAAATGTAGCGTCATCTAAGAACATGTTGATAATGTGTCTTTAGGTCTACATGTGAATCCTGATCTTCTGACGAGAAGCAGATGCATAGGGTGGGTGCTCCTTTTATATGCAAATGAAAAATAAAAACCTTGCAACCGCCGTGTTTTAAATGTGAGACATGTCATTGCAGAAATACAACTACACCGAAGACACAATACTGTATTTCCGTGTAATACTACTATATACTTCAACTCTATAAGAGGGAAATACTGTAATTTTACATCACTATTTTTGTTTAACAGTTATTGTAACTTGTTACTACTTTGGATTTGGATATTTAGAATAGTTTATATGATCAGCTTATATGAATTCAGTTATCCAGTAAAGAAGGTAGAATTAGCTTTTTGACCTGTTGCAACATTCAAATGCTACTAGCACATTTACACATCAAGGGTAGTTATCCAGGAATGTCACACTCTGAAAGGGGCCGGTCTGCATGGTGAGTGACTATTGTTGTGCTACTTAATCTACAATATTTCATAATACTATTAACACTACTTGTAGTGGTCTCTTTCTGAAAGTGACATTTTTTAACTTGCGTAAATATGAATACTTCTATCGCTGCAATTAAGTTATACACGTTCTAATGGGCCTGTGTTTACAGCAGATGTTTAGACTTGTGATAGCAGGAAATGTGTTTCTAATAAATGATTGCTCTGCTCTCTTCAAGTGTCCAAGGAAGTTAGGACAGTGAGCCAGGAAGCACGACACTAGGACCCTGAAACTGAAGCAGCTAAATGGAATTCAGCCGTCACTAATTTACCATTTGCACCTGTGCTTTTTCCTACTATGCCAAAGTGTGTGTGTGTCAGTGGCCCAAATACATCTGACGGCAAGCTTGAGTTATTATGGGCCTGTTTTTGTTTGTTTTTTTACTGCGTACATTTAAACACACAGCATGATAAACACAGGTGTAAGCAATAACATTAATTACGGCTGCATTTTATTCGGGTGTTCTACTGCCAGGGCATATTTGCTTTCTGAGCTAACTAATTTGGATTTGGAGATAGAGTGGAGCCATCATTAATTGTATTAGTTACACCTGTGATTACCCAACAAAGGAGGCTGCTACTGGACCCCTGTTTATAATTAGTGTGGTATTTATGGTAATCGGGCAAACATGATTATTTAGGAAATGTTCAGCGTGTACATTTCGCCACTGGGGCCCCTGAACAGGCAGACAAGATACCTAATAATGCAGTGTGTATTCCCAAAACAAATGTGCATTTAATCAAATTCCCACAAACCAGAGTAACATATGAATAAGGGGGTGCTTGTGGGATTTATCTGTATATTTATATCATAGTGGATGTGTAACAGGACAGAAACGGTGTGTTTTGTAACAGTAGCTTATTTTACTGCTACTACACAGCTGTTTTTAAATGCATAATTGGTCACATCAGTTACCTAAGGGAAGATGTCAATAAAAATCACTAGTGTGGGAATCCAGTTTTAACCACTTGGCCCAGATACAGTAGTAGGTTATGTACCGGTATATTACAGCATGTATACACCGTCATGTACTCCCACATACTATGGTTTTACCCGACTTGAAACGCAGCATGCAGGCAGACAGCTCAGGAGAAATCTCCCTCAGTAACAAGTCCGACATCAGTTGACAGTACCACCTGTTGGCCACGCGGCTGTGCTAGCAGACCGCTCGCGCCCCCCGTGGCTACGCTGTTCCTCTGCGCATGCGTGTTTCCTTGACGGAGCGGAGACCATTTCCTCCAGCAGCAGGCCTCGCAGAGCTCCACCACACACACACGCGCAAAAACATACACACATATGCAGACCGAGTACGGACAAACGTCAAAGCAAAGCCGCGTCTGGGATTGTCTAACCTCAACGCCGCTAAACCTGGACCCCCACCCCCCAACCTTAGGAGTCATCCTAATGGGCCTTCATCGCTAATTTGCAGCAACATCTGGTCGACACCACAGCGGTATCTTTTGAGGTAAGTTGCCCACAGCGCAGTCACTGTTTTGTCTCGTTGTGTTGCTGCTGCAACGTTTTTTAGCTCGGGAAGCTTCGGTAAAAGCGTTAGCGCACAGGGGGACGTCATTGTTGTGGCTGTTTATTCTGTATTTGACCGTGGTTTACGTCACATTCACTTAAGGGCTCAGGAATGTTGTGATAAAACAGGTTTACATTGCACATAGCTAACGTTAAACCCCTTTGAGAGCGCTAGCGTTAGCTGCTAGTTAACGTACAATGTAACGTCATGAGACCCATTATCGGACACTGTTTATGCTAAGTCCAAACTGATTTGTACTCCTCCGGTCGGCTCAGTAGAGCAACAGAGACATACACACCAAATAATATAAGGTAACAATTTAAAGACATTTGTGTTTTCGTTTATGTTACCTACCAATATGTTTTATTTGGGGGGGTGGGTTTGCGGCTTTGCCAAAAAAAACTCCGAGTCACCCACCCTCCTCTCCTCTGGTTCCATAGTCGGACGCCTTGGTCGTGGCTAACGTTTTGTGGTTTTTATCTTTCACTGTATTCTCTGTCTACAAATATGTGTTGACATGGTGTAGTTCAGTACTGAAGGGAAGCCCAAATATAAAGCCGAGAGTCTGTTAAACAAGGGACCGTGCAGCGTTGTGCTACAGGCGGAGGCGTCGTTTTGGATGTGTGTAAAATCTCGTTAAACTGACTGTTACTGTGTAGCAGAAATGAAAACCAAATGTATGTCAAACTAGTGCCAATTCTGCGGTCTGGGCCTTTTGTTATTGTTTTGTATTATGTTGGGAACGAAGATTAATAAAGCATGAGACTGTCCGATAATGGACCCAGACGTTAGCCACCTACACGCTGCACTAGAGCGGGTGGGGGGGGGGGGGAAGAAGAAGAGTGCTGGAGCTGAGGTTCAGCCCCCTTGCTTTGAGGAAACACTGACCTGTATCTCTCCGCTGGTGTCGTTTCACATACATGTCACTGTATAATTGTGGAGAAGTGCTTCAACGGAGTTTGTGAGAGCAGATAATTGGTTTATAACCAACAACAACGCTGTTATGATCATACTGTGTATCCCTCAGGGATATAGCGTTTCACCCCTTCCACAAGGAGGTCAAAGGTCAGGTTCGGCTGCTGAACACCATCATGGAGATAGGAAGCGCTCCGGCGTCTTGCTCAAAGACACTTTGACATGGTGGCTAATACGCCGGTTAACGAAGATGAAATGCATTAAATATTAAATTGGGCTGTTAAATGTTTTTGGTTTTCAAATAAATCCGACCAGTCTGCCATCCCTGCAGCTTCGTCCTTGTTTGTCAGTTCCCCCACTGACAAACAAGTCACTGGGGTGAACCGACCAACTGTCTGACTGAAATGTACATACCGTTGCAAGCTGTAGCATGACCGACGAAAGCGACGTCTATAGCAGGCCTGCATTGTTACTTTACAGTGTTGCAGTGTTCTTTAGGTGAAGAATACAGGACTGCTCTGCTCAATGCACTTACAATCCTACTCCTGGGTTGTTTTCAGGGACCACATCTAATAATCGTAGCGTCTTATCTCAGTGCAGTCGCTTGTTATCTGACCTGTCACTACTCAAAATCTGAAACGTCATCGCTCCAGATCTCGTTGCCGATTTTGATAACTGTTTTCTAGTCCGTATGAGGCTGACTAGCAATTTGCGTTGTAATCTGGATAGAGACATTAAGTGGACGGTCTGATTTGATTATGACATACACAATGAGTTTACAGGTTTTCTTTTTTGTTAACAACACAAATATGTCTTCAGAATTGCAATTATTCTGTGTGTGATTGTCTAAAAATTGGGATGGAAGAACAGCAGTCAATTCGAGCAGGTGTCCGTTGTTTGTTTCTGAGAGACAGTATCTCATTATGATGCCCACCTGTCTTAACTGTTGCTGCGCTGATTACAGTGAATGAGGATGAAGCAGCGTGATGGCTTTGGATTTTCTGGTAGAGAAATCTTGTTACCAAGATTGGTCGGAGGGGGAAGGTGGAGGGCGTGAGGGCTCGGCCTTCGTTATCCCCCAGAGCAATCTGGTGAGCCAGACCGCAACATGTTAGTGATCCATTTGCTGCGTTTTTCCGGGCTAATCTGCTGCCAGTGTTTCCCAACGCAGTGCCGCAAGGGGCTGCAGTTGGAGTAGAGACGATGAATGCCTTGGTGCAAGGATTAATAAGCCATTTTAAGCACAAACTGTTTTATTTCAGCGTGTAATGTACCAGTCCTCTAAACACAGCGTGACTCAGCCCTGATCTCAGTAGTGAGACTGTGCAGCTCTCCCATCTGTTAAGGCGGGCTCATCTAGTAAGGTGGCTTCAACCACACTAAGTTCTTCTCTTTGTCAATAGCGCTCTCCCCATCTGTCCGACTGACTGATGGCTTGATCGGGGTATCTAATCGAGGTGCAGCTTGACGAGGACTAGAGGTGACGGGACATGTCCACCGGATATGTCTGCAGGCCCGGCTTCATGTCAGCTCTGTCCTTTTTAGCGATGAGTTATGAGGAGGGGGGGGGGGGTTATACCCTCACTGTCTGGTCGATCCTAAAAGCTGCAAGGGGCTGTCTTGCGTTAAGCTCTGAGCCCCGTCTCATGCGCTCTCAGCAGGGAAGTAATGGCTCCTCTGTCTGTACGCTGACCATCTCATTGCACATTTGAAGCCCGTCCAAGGGCCTGCTGACCTCGACACAATGACCACGTTTAGTCCCGTCCCTCCGGCCCCTTCTCCCCGATGTCTGCTGTCTCTTTAACCAGCAAGTGCAATAACAGAGAGGGGGATTTATCGTGGAGATGCCGGTGCAGAGCTTAACAGTATACTGACACTCGCGAGCAACAGGACATCACAGATGGTGCACGGTAAGCCGTGTCACTCTGCAGAGATGCATTCAAAATAACGAACCTGACGGCCGTCTGCATTTCAGCAGCCTGGTATGGTGTGTTGGCGGCGAATGCGTCTTTATACCCAGATACTCACCATGATGTGTTCCATTGTGTCTGATACGGTTTCGTGCACATCCCAGGTTATGCAGGTTTAATGCAAATGTTGCGAGATGCAAAGCGGCGAGCAGCGCCACGTACCACTTGTTTGGGAAGAGTGATGGAAAGTGAAACTGGCAGCAGCTCTGCATCTCACCTGCAGTGCTTCCTCTTTTTAAACGTGTGTAGAGACCGCAGAGGTGTATCGCATCACGATTACTGATGTGAATGTCTTTCTTTTGGACAATTCCTACTAAAACTATACTGCGCTTCCTGCTCATCATACTACTCAGATTGTTGTTGGTAGTGTGAAGTGAATATACAACACATAGTGTTTATTTAGTTACATATGAGTTTCTGTTAGGGCTGGAATTACTGATCATCTGAATTATCCGTTAATGTGCAGATCATTATCAAGATGAATCAATTCATTGTTTGGTATTTGTTCAACAGTCCAACACCCAAATATATTCAAATTTACCATCGGTGAAAGCTGATTTAAAAAAATAATTAATTAATTAAAACAGCAAATATTCACATTTAAGACATTTTAGTTCAGTGACACTTTCAGTACTTACAAAATGAATCCATTATCAAAAGAGTTGCAGATATTTGTCTTCATTTTTACTCTGCAGGTAGTTCATCTTTGCCTTGATAATCTTTTAGTCTCTTACCGTGTGAGACAAGCGTTTCCTTGTGAAGCGTCATAGATTTGGTCAATTCTGATGATATTATTTCACAAGCACCACGGCTTTGAGTCCGTGTTTTTCTTTCTCGTTAACTACATTGAGGAGAAACACCAGCTTTCAGCAGCATTGCAGTACACCATCACATTTAGCGTTAAAGGAGGATTGACTAAAGGGGCTCTATAGACGTGGCCAAGCTACCTAGATCAGAACGTGACAATCGAAAACCTTCAATGGAGATAAATACCCCGTCCCCCTGCTGTTGAGACTCTTATTCTCTGTTCAACACCTGCTGAGCTGCGATAGAAGCGACCCCCCCCCCCCCCCCTCTCCCTCCTCTCCCTCTATGTCCTCCTCCCCGGGGATCACGCCGCCCAGTAGAATAGCGGCATTGTGGCTGCCATCTTGCGCGCAAAACCCAGCGAGGCCTCTCCATCTGGGCAGCGGCCGGGCAGTCAGGCAGCTCCTTGAAGGGCTGGGAGGCTTCTACCGCCACGCCTGCTGGCGAGCTGCACAGTGTAGGCAATGAGTAGAGCCGCAGGCCGGACACATGCCCAGTCTCTCACTATATACGCCCACGGCAGGTGCAGATTTCCCACCAGGAACTGTTTCTCACACAGATAAATGATAATGCAACATTTCAGAAAAGTCATTTCTCGATGTGAACGTTAACTCTTTGCACTGTTCATGTGTTGCTACTGGACCTATGGTGGTGTTAAAAGGTTAGGGACTCCATCCATGCAGCAGAGAAGAAAAAAAACATGTTACTGTCTACTACTTGCCAAACACGTCAGTATCAACAGTATCACCCAAAACAAATCTCTGTTTTTGCGCTTGCCACATTTGAGAAGTAGAGATATCCTCTAAGGAGCCTCATCAGCCCAGACGACCCCCACCAGTTCCTGTAACCTGCAGCTGTAAGGATTTATTATACACTTAACGATTTTCTACCTGAGGGGATCATTCAGAAACACCATTGTGAAGAATTCTCAGCTCTGAGACATAAATGGAACATAACTGAAACATAGTCACCGCCGTTATTATAACCTGAGGCTGCACTTTGGTGTTTTAGTTTTTTGTGCTTTTATTTTGACTAGTCCGTCATCAGTCATGATATTGTTTAAGCATCGGTCGCATCGTGTCCCGCTGGACAGCCAACTAATCGTGTTACAATATAATGTAGATACGACGATGTTATCAAATTGTGCTTTGAAACCATGCAGCCGCCGCCTTTATATAAATGTTCACAATATAGACAGAAATTCAGTGTTTCTGTCAAATTCTCCCCACATTACCTTCCTAACTAAAA